TTTAGGTACAGCAAGATAGTATCGCTATTCCAACCTCCAACAATAGTCAAAGTGTTAGGCATTGTTTGTTTGTCCTTTCGTTTACTCATGTGCGTTGTGAGAAGCACATAGGCACTGGATATTTGAAAAACTTGATGGCCTCCTGAGCCAATGAAGGATATTCAGGGCTGCACCTTACTCCAGGGGTGAACCACAAACATGATATGTACTATATCCAGAACAGCAGTGTTCTAAAGTATTCCGCAATGAGTTTTTCAAGTGTCCAACACCAATTATTTCATTCAGCACCATGTTGTATCATGGGCCTAATTCCTTGACCCCAGAACTATTCCACTGGCTCTAATAAAATTTCAGTTGGTATGAATAATTTTCATACCAACTGTAAATTCTGGCTTACGAATTTTCACCGCTGTACATGAGGTAATTTTCTGTACTTTGTTTTCTCTTGCAGGCATGGTTGGAAGCCCCTCTGTTGTGAATGATGGATTCAGCTACAGTACATAGACACTGGATATCCATGTAAGTTAATGCTGTTGGAGTATTTGAGAGTGCACTTGCTTTTACTCGCCTTGGTATATGTTACGGGTGCGCACATGATGAGATGCTATTGACAAATAGCCTAATGGTGCGTTTTAATGGTGAATTATTATGTGCACCCTACTTCAGAAGTGAACCATAAACATGACACAAAGATTGTGTGTGTCTTACGAGGTCTTGTCATGGTATGCATCTGGTTATCTCTCTGCATCTGGTGAGCAACCAGGTAACAGCAATTGTTTTTGTATGCTAATACAACCTGCTTGTTACCATATGGGGCTGGTTGGTTGCAACTTAATTAACCCCTCCTTTTTCTCAACTGGCTTCTTACTGCATGTTGGTCATAGTCAACACTGTCCCCATGCAACATCAGACTTGTCCACTTCACCTTTCCTGGCAAACCCCTTGTATTGGTTGAGCCTGATCTCCACATGTAGGTTTAGCCTTATAACAATGCCAAACTTTTTGTCTATGTGCAAGGTGTGATGTCTAATTGTGCTACTCTTCTGATATGCTCTGAATATGTACGTGGAGTCTCCCTGTGAAGACTCAACCTTTTCACTGCAGGTATAAGGCTACTCCTGAGATGGCTCCGAAACTTTTCTTTACCTCTGTTGCTCTAACATGTAATTCACTTCAGTTCCTAGGCACTCTCTCTCATAACCAGAGCAGATCATCAATAATTGAAGTAGTGAGGTAATTACTGGATTCTGTTTAACACACACAAAATGGTAATAGGAAGAGCCAGACACAAACTATACCGTTTTGTGTGTCCAGTAATAATAGAGTGGGGCCAGCTGATGAGTCCTCCCACTATAAACATAAGGGACGAAAACCATCTCTGGGGATAACCCCTCCGAGATTGTTTCTGGCTTTTTCTTGTTTTGCAGGTATACAGCACATATCTTCTTTGTGCTATAGTTCTGATACCTGCCATGCCATTGTGTCTGTCAGTGCATTACATGCATTACAACACTTCTGGTTTGCTCTGTTATCTATATAATATGTGCGTGGAGTCTGACTGTCTTGGGGTTGTTAGCAGCAGCAACTATATTCAACGTATTAGGCATAGTTGGTTTGTCATTAATTTCATTTACCCCGTAGATGCAACAGCAGACGCATCTCTACAAACTGCTTACTATTGGCAACTAGCTTTTGACCTAAAAGGCAAAATATAATAACTTTTTGACAAACAACCTAAACGTGAGATTCAATAATATTAGTTTTTCTATAGTTGATCGTTAGCCCAAGCCCCTTTGCCTGCGAGTGAATAGCCCGACCTAGACCCCTGCGGGGTGTCCTAAATTTGCGGAAGTACGCCTGGCTCCTCCACGCTTCGCTAGGGCCTAAAGGCCCTAGCTCTACATATTTTTCGTGAGGTCGAGGATGTCTCAGGGGAACAAAACGGGTTACCACAAAGTGTGCGGACATCTTTACGCTCCTCTTCAAATCGCGCGTACATGCACTGATGGCCTCTGGCGTGCAAATAATCAGGGGACTTTACAAATTGGTTTAACAACCTACTACACGCCTCCTCTGGATTCAACAACCACTGATGTGGCTATTTCGGATGTGCAATGTGTTTTTGGCCCTGCAAGTCCTGTCAACTCCAATCCGCCAAACCTTACAACAGAATCACATTTAACGAACGAATGGGCTACTATTTACTACGTTACGTCCAATACCGTATACGTAATGTACAGAAGATTCTTCAGCACACAGAGTTGGACAGGTTACCCACAAGATGATACAGATCCTGATCTGAACAATACCACCTTACAGCGATTCTTTTTTCCTGTGTCACATTGGCGTGGTCAAACACTAACCTTTGTCACTAACGGACACCTAATTCGCATTTCACATCGAGGCAATTTCTGGAACCCGACCGTTCACACCGAGAGAGAAAATTATTCGGTTTCTTGGTTCGTTGACAACAGAGAAGCTGCTACTATTCTAGCTACCGATGCTGATGAACTAACACCTTCAAACATTGCAGAGAACTTTATTTTGACTTAGCGCTTGCGTTCATGCAGTTGGCTACCGCTTCTTTTCATTTAAAATGATAAAATACATTATACAACATTACATGGTAATGGTTCAGTGAGAAATGACCTAATGTGCGCCTCTATGTCGTTGTAGTCTCTTTTGCTGCAGTCAACTTCAACGGAGATTCGTCTAAGGAAAGCTGCGAAAGATCGGGGTCGTTCCTCTTGGACTTTCTCGTATTGCTGAAACGGAGAAGAGTTCGAGCAAATGATGATCCATTTGGAGCGGTTAGGCATAGTTCCTCCCTTGACTTGGAGCTGTGGAGGATGTGGGTCACACATGGACAGAAATGTCGTGAGAGTGAAGCACGACTGGAATTCTTCAAGAACCAAAACATCTTGTCCCGTATATCCATCAAACCAATGGGTTCCAGGCATCTTTTTGAAGAATGACATCTTAAGGTCGAGGAGTACTTTAAGGGTAGATGTTGTCTTTCCACAGCCTGTTTCGCCATGCAGGTAGAGTACCCTTGCAGGTTCAGTCCGGGGGGGAGCGTACCTTGCAGCTTGGTGGATATAACTGAGTTCTTCCGGATTAGCATCAATGATGTCCTGGAGTGGAGCACCGCGTCTAATATCAGCATAGGCTTTCCGTCTATTAGCACCGCTTGATCCCGCTTTGGAGGCGTCCGAGGCAGATAGTTGAAGCGTTCCTTGTTCGAAAGGGTCTTCGTCGTCTTTATGACAGTACTCTTGAGCTTTCTTATTGCTGCGAGCTCTCTGTACTTCAAGGTGAGCGCGGGGAAGTAAGCCTTTGACGAAGTTGAATCGCTTCCGCTTGGTGAACTGGATGTAACCTTGAAGGTGCGGGGTACCGTCCTCCCCAACTTCTTTTCCATACGTGCAATATTGTACTTCTTGATCAGCGATAGGGAAGATACCAAGATCTTCGGCGGTGTAGTTGTTGATGGTGAAGCACCAGTTTTTAGCTTGGGAGCCTCCGGCTTGAGAGGGACGGTTTTGACCAGGCATACCCTTGTTGTAAAGAAGGAAATTGCAAAATAAATAAGTGTTTAGGTACAGCTAGATGGTTTTGCTGTTCCAACCTCCAACTATAGTCAAACTGTTAGGCATTGTTGGTTTGTCGTTTCTGCATTGTGAGAAGCACATAGGCACTGGATATTTGAAAAACTTGATGGCCTCCTGAGCCAATGAGCATTGACAAAATAGCTTAGGATATTCAGGGCTGCACCTTACTCCCCAGGAGTGAACCACAAACCACAGTGTCTAGTTGTCTCTCTCCATCTGGTGACCCACCAGGTAACAGCTGCAACCTGGTTAAGAGATGTATGTTTCTCACAAACTCAAGGCCTTCTGCTCTATTCCTACACCACCTAATATGGTTTTCTATGTAGTTCTGGTCAATGACAGCAACAGTAACTCCGGTCACTCTGTAAGTTCAACACATGTTGTGCAACCGCAGGCTTGTCACTTCACCAACCTCCTTGTGTTGTTTGAGACTGGTCGGTCGCCTGGAATTTGTCAGCATGGATATATACAGTTTTACAGACTTGATTTTAAGGCACATGGTCTTTATAATGCATCAAGGTGTCTTGGACTGTCAAATTTTACTGTATTTGTCTCTCTCCATCTGGTGACCCACCAGGTAACAGCTGCAACCTGGTTAAGAGATGTATGTTTCTCACAAACTCAAGACCTTTGTCTCTATTCCTACACCACCTACAGTAATATGGTTTTCTATTCCTATA